AAGACTACAATTATACTTTCTAGGTCGGAGTGGTCATTGGGTCTTACTACCCAACCCTCTCCACACAAAATACAGTACAATACTACTGCCGTACCACAAAATTAAAACAACAACAGATACGCTTCTATTAACAGTCACGACTATCATGTCCGTGTGACGTAACCTTGCAGACTTCGCAAGTTTTGACGAATATAAGAAAAAAAAAAACAACGCGACCAGTAAAATAATTTTCAGTAAAACAAAACATTGATTAACAAGTACAAGGTAACTGTACATTTATGGTTCTTTAAATATCAACATCAGTACTGGTCCTTTTGTGAAATATCATCTGTGGAAGTATCTTTAAACGGTTTCAACTGTGGTAGCGTCACGCAATTCAGCTGTGGCAAGAATGGGCACGCTCCTCAGAGTTAGCACCACAGCCTTACAGATTTTAACTGTGGTAGCGCCACCTGGCAATTTCATGTGTGGTAAGAATGGACAGGTTCTTCAGAGCACCATGGCCCCACAGAAGAGTTTACGCTTCGTCCGGGATTGAGGTAACCGGGATACACTAAAGTACCCACAGGATGTCAATGGAGGACGGTAATCAATTAACATTATGTGAACCGTCCGCTCGTTTACCACATTATCACATAAAAAATAAGACATTTTAGAGTTAAAAGTATGTGTGGGTACACCTTTATAATTTTAACTGTAACAATAAATTCGGTCAACAAACTACCAAAGTGCCGTTCACTTCTGTTCAATTGAATAATTAATAAATGTTAGTGATGCACGACAAATTAACCGTAACACGTTAATGTTTAATTAAATAGAACGTAGGTAATAGATACATATGCAACAAATTTTATCATTGATGTTTGCTTTGAAACTGTCTGTGTGTTCCGTTTGCTTAGTAATCTTTCTATCAGATCATAACACATGAGCCTATTATAGTATGTATGTATATTAGAACTCTGAAATAACTACTCACAACGTAGCTCCTACAAGTTTCCAATTTCTACTTTCAAATTTTTTACAATTTCAATCTGTCTAAAAACAACCTATACTAACCAACCCAATAATACCAACATTCAAACTACAATGTACATATACAATAGACAAGGAAGAACCTCATGGAGAAAGGTCTCATCATAGGCAACAGGTGTTCTGGCTTGTCGAGGTCCTGACTGGTGACCTCATCGCCCCGGCAGTAGCACTTGTGATCCATGGACATACCCACAGATGGCACTTGTAATTTGCGCTGGTACGATAAACAATGAAAAAATTATATAACTGCTTTTAACGGTGGTAGGGCCACGCATCAGCCTCGGCTGTTGCACGAATGGGCAGGCCCGTCCGGGTAAGCACCACGACCTCACAGAAGACCGGCGAAAAGTGGAAGTATGACAAATACTTTCGCGTTTCGTCTGGTGAGTGAGGTGACCGGAGCCCAATTTTCAAAAGGTTGTCAACGCATCTGTAACCGTCGGGTGTAGCAGATGTCTATGGGCGGCGGTATTCACTTAACATCAGGTGAACCGTCTGCTCATTTGACAAACTTTATACTAAACAGTATTATATACCACCGGTGCACAGATTAAAATAATCAGATATAAGTTTCTAAATGGACCTTGTGATATATAAACTAGATAAACTTTTCCATGTATCAATTATTCCTAATAGTATAGTAAAAGCAATACTGCAAAGTACTACAATGTGAAAATAAACAACATACAGCATTTCTACTATTTCAACTCGCAAAAGTAAAGAATTATTCATCTTATACATAACCTTGAGTTGAATTGAAGTTTATCAATGCAATAACAATACTATATTTGCATAACAAAAACCTTTTTGTTATGCAAATATAATATCTGCTTTGGTGATGAACAAAATCTCAAACAAAAACAAGTTATTGTATATAAATCTCAACCTTAGCCATATATCTTAATGGATTCTAATTATAAAAGTATACGTCTTCCTCTTAAAGAAGTGGAAGTGATATACTTCTGCGTTTTGTCTTGCGAGTGAGGGAGCCAGGGCCCACTTTCTTATAAGGTGGCAACGCATCTGCAACCCTATGGGTGTTTGAAATATCTATAGGCAATGGTTATCACTTAACTTCAGGTGAACTGCCAGCTCACAAAACTATACATAATATAGACAATGGCAATAATACCAATTGCAAAAGCAAACTAAAAGACCGAATACTAAATAAATTTATTATTTAGTTAATTCGGTCTTGTTTCTAAGGCGAATTTTAAGAAAACATTTATATAATAAGCGATAAAAATTTATATAACATAACTCTGTTCATTATTTGCACAAAAGAATCAAAACAATAATACATGCAAATAAAACACCTGGACATACAATAAAGCTGAATCATAATTAACAAGTATTATCAAAGTCCATGTAAAACGTCACATTCTTTTTGAATAATTTTTGACTGGATTTTAAGAAATTCAGATACAAAAAGACTAAGCGTATCAAAGATTATGTGAGCCTGCAAATTTTAAAAAACAATTTATCAAAGTCCATGTAAAACGTCACATTCTTTTTGAATAATTTTTGACTGGATTTTAAGAAATTCAGATACAAAAAGACTAAGCGTATCAAAGATTATGTGAGCCTGCAAATTTTAAAAAACAATTTGTTTTTATTATTAAAATATGTAGATAAAGTACGAAAAGATTATCGCCGCTGTGGGAATCGAACCCACGTCTTCGGCATTCGCGGCCTGACGATTTAACCACTAAGCTGATTGCTACACGAATTTGTTTTTATTTATTTTACTATCAAACTATTGAAAATTTTATAACAATAATTTATTATCATCCTCCTGGCCATCACACATAGCTGGGGTCAGCAAAACATATAAGTTTTGTTCTTAGGCCACCTGACATTGTCCGGAAAATAAGTCCACAGGTTCAGAACAACTATCTGTGGATTACACAAATCTTTGTTCCATGTGGGAATGGAACTCATCACTTAACATAATTACTATTTGACTGCACTCAAATTTTTATTACTTGCTTGACACTCATCAAACATTAAAAGATAATAAACTATTTTTGTTAAAATAAAATCAGTTTATGGTTTAAAATTTATAGCAATGCAATTGAACGAAACATACAAGGATCACATAATGCTTTAATGATAATCTTTACAACAATGAAACACAAGTATATAGATATATCTGCAGATGTCACACATTCTTGCTCTTTAATCTATATTAAGCCAGGCATTGTAGTAATCTTACCAAAGCCTTAATTGTTATCATTAAATCATGCAATAATTGCAAGGAAATCATATTTTATTACTACCCAATAAACACATGTATATGTATTAAAGTTATATAAGTACAACCAATAGCCTTACCTAATGTAAATGTTAACACTCAAGTATTACTCAATACAAAACTATAATACAACTACAGTTTTTAAAATATAAAAAGCAACACCTTTTTTAAAGAAAATAATGTTTACATGTAATAAACTGTAGGATTGAATAGAATGATAATTTTTTTCTACTATTCATACAATTTGCAATATAAAAGTGTGACCAAAAAGCACCAATAAGGTAGCAGCAAATCTAACCACAAACTTAAGAAGTCAACTCAAAATTGATACTACCAAAATTATAACTTTTGTGAGCAGTATAAAATAATGCTAAAATTCACATGTGACTAAAACATGATGCAATAGTAACAAAGCTAGAGTTGATTCGACATTTGTTCGGCAAAATTTAAATAATATGTATTTAATACTTAAAGTTCCATATTGAATAATTACATTAAAGTAATTTGAACATTAATAATCCATTGGTAGTGCAAGTAAAGAATGCCAAAATAATGGATGAATTGGCTATGATCATTTCCCTATTTATTGATTGCTAATTAATAGAATTGGTTGTTTTATTTTATCTCTCAAACTAGCTCCATTGAGTTTCGGTACTGACACAGCCACATACATTGAATTTTAATCAAAGTGTGATTGAAAGTAATGAGTATTAATATTAACTACTTTCCTTTATAGGAATGGAATAATAAAGCTGCACAAGTCCAATCAAAACTGCACAAATGGATAAACAAAACAAAAAATCTCCATTGGACTTCTTGAAATTCAAGGTTTATAATCTCGAATAATTCTTATGAGGCTAACACGCATTTCCAAGAATAATATTAACAGCTCCATATCGTTGACTATCGCTCCATATTGTCTGTGAACCGTTGCAAATTTATCCATTCACAGCCCCATCACCAGAACCAGCAGTAACAGTGTCATGCTTGATCTAAACAAACACGACATACCTCGCCAAATGTACTTTTTTCGCGACGTTCGCACCGTTATTATCGTCGGTTTCACTCCGAACCCTTTTCCTATGCAACCCATCTTCAACCATTTCAACCTTTAAGTGATAATGAACAATGTCACATGAAGCATAACTAAATAAAAATCGCTTCCGAAGGTCAACGTTCTATGCGCCATGAAAAAGAGTTACTACCAGATTGAAGGTCGACGAATCGTTACTTATAGTATATTATTATTACCTTAAGATTTAAATAAGAAATAGTCACTACGCAGAGGTGATTTAATACATTACACATGATGACAAATACAAATCATTTACTAAGAAAAGGCATCGAGCCTTACAAATTGAAGCACACGTTTGTTAAATTATTTAGTACCTACGTATTTCGAAGGTAGTACTGGGGAAACAATGAGGAAATACACTTCTTGCAATTGCTTCCGTGAATACCCTCTCTTGCGCAATCAAACGCAATACAAATTACAAATGCATTTTTTACCGTTAAACGTCAGTTAAATGTTACTTACTATACTACTTGAATGTGCTTCGGATAAGACAAATGCGAAATTCTAGATGAATCTTCCTAAACAACGGAACATCGTTTTTAGAAAATTGAATCAATATCGTTATAAATACTTTTTTGTACAATAAAAATTGTTTACGATATTTAAGAAACCAAACAAATTTATAATAATGGTACTTACAATAAATTAAACTGTGAAACAGGAACTCTGATCGAAACACTGCTTCTTCGGTGGCCGTTGGCGTGAGAATGACACTTGACAGCCGGCCGGACGACCGGCCCAAAGACGCGTGTGTAAAAATGATTGCAGCCACAGATCATACATAGTTCTTTCCGGCAATATTTAATTTAAATTTTTTACTGATAATTTTAAACCGAAATTAAACGAAACGAAATTTATTTGCTTTTTGTATTATGCCCAATACCTATTGCGTACAATACATAAAGCATATTATGTTTTTTTATTCAGCACTTTAATGTCGTAACAATTTAGGTCATGATATTTAGCACATAGAGTGATAATTATTAAACTAATTGAGGTTATATGTATAGTAATGTTCATCGTTTCAAAGATAGATCGTACATCTATAATCATTACCAAAGAGAATGTAATCACTACGTTTACATGATCATTATATGTCGTTGATCATTACAATCATACTTTAGACATCTAAAATAAAATATGTTATTTTTATAACTAATTTGAAAACAGTAATAGCTTATTTCGAACACTTTCAGTGTTAGCTTTTGATGCATCATTATATTAAGACACATGAATGTAGGCTGCTATTAAAATATTCATAAAGCACGACTTAAGCCATATTTTTATTGACCTAATTATTTAAACATAATGTCATAGCAAAATATCAAATGCTTAAAGCAGAAATTTTGGTTAACCCGGTGAGTTCTTTCATTATTTACTCGTCAAACAATGATTTTATATACAAATAAGAGATAGATTTGCATTACGGCACCGAAACGGTGTATCATACGTTCTAAGTCATCTGTCACATTCACTTATACAGCGTGTCTTTACAATCGCCATAATTAATGAACACACATTAGAGGATAACTTTTTAAAATTATATTAAACATTTACATTGTTTAAACATCAATATTTACCGAGTCAATACATTTTCCAAAAAACCTAACCTTACAAAAACCTAGCCTTACGTATCAAACTTTTTTTTTTATGCGAAAAGTTGTCAAACGAGCAGATGGTTCACCTGATGTTAAGTGATTACCGCCGCCCATGGACATCCGCCACAACCGAGGGTTACAGATGCGTTGACCAACCTTTTGAAAATTGGGCTCCGGCTACCTCACTCACCAGGCGAAACGCGATAGTATTTGTCATACTTCCACTTTACGCTGGTCTTCTGTGAGGTCGTGGTATTTACCGTGACGGGCCTGCCCATTCATGCAACAGCCGAGGCTGCTGCGTGGTCCTACCACCTACAAGTACAACTACAACTGTAACGTAAAGTTCATTTATAAAGGTCACAAAGCATATGAGAAATGAATGGATTGAATGAATTTTAAAGAGACAAAACATACTGTTAGAAGGAGAGGCTTGTAATGCCACGCTGTGGCAACGAATGAAAAAGTCTCTGAATGTATGAATAAGTCAGTTGTAGTTGTATAGGATGTTACAAATTTTGTTTCTTTTTTACTTAATTAGTTTTAAAAATATTTTATTTTTGATTATAGATTTTTTTAACGTTAATATTTTTTATGATTATTGGAAAGTAGCGTTAGACGTGTGTTCATTTATTGTCGCGATTGTAACGACACGCTGTATATGTCATATAATTTAAAGCGCAACAATTTTTAAACGCCGCGCAATATGGACATGCGTCATCTTTTAAAACATCATTGTTATCAAGTACATAATGAAAAGGTGAGTTACGTTATTAGATAACTATGTATAAAGACATTTTAATTATTTTTATATATTTATTAGTCCAAAATGTCCCTGCGCTATCTAAAGATCACATTTGTATTATTTATATTTATGTTATGATTTGATTTGCTTTACACAATTTCTTTTGTATATTGCAGTGTCAAGCATCATATTTGCGGTGTGCAATAATATCAATAATTTGAATTCAATCGACACGGTATGGTTGGTGAATGTACTGTGAAGAAAAACAAAAGCATTTTTAGCCGGGCTGCCAGTTTGCTTGCTTGCTTTGCGAGCCGATGTGCACTAGTGTTCCCTCTAATAACCTAGTATCATCGGGACCGTATTTAAAAGGACTTTTTTATTTTTCTAATTATTCCTAGACACCGGAAAACTTTTAAATTTATTTAATTCATTTGAACTTAAAAGTCTTTTTCATGAACCAACTCGTGTTACTAACTTATCCTTCTCATGTATAGATAATGTCACAATGATGTATATGATAAATATATTATAAATCATCTGAGCTCGGATCACTTTGGGCTAACATTTTCAATAAATGAAAAAGCTAATACAAGCAAATTTAAGATTAAGTGTAGACCAGTCACTACTAATAGAATAAATGCTTTTAGAGATAAAGTGGCACATCATATATTAAATAAAGATATAGGAGTCAATAACCCTAATGATTCTTATAGATCAATGGTTGACTTTCTCATATCTTCTTATAATGATACTTTTAAATCGCGCACAATTGTTAAGAATTCAAAATTAAAATTTAGTGACTGGGCAACAATGGGTATATATAAAAGTAGGGATTCATTGTATGAATTATATAGTATGAGACAGTGGAATCACGATCATAACTTCCATAAACGGGTACAAACGTTTTCAAAAATATTTTAAAAAGTCTGTATTCAGGCAAAATCTATTTATATAAGAAATAGCATAATAAATTCAAACAATAGAACTAAAGCCACTTGGACCTATAAAACCTATGGAACCTATAAAACTAGTTATAGGTAATACTCCCATAATATCAGATAACGAAATTGCGAGTAGTTTCGAAAGCTATTTTTCAGACATTGCGGTTAATGTCACACGTACATTAAAATCATCTCCCGCAGACGCAATTAATGTTTTAAGAAATAATGTTACCTCTTGCCTACACACATTTAAATTTAATCACGTAGATACTTATGATATTATAAAAGTTTTGAATTCTATTAATCTTAAAAATACAGAGGATTTGTGGGGTATGTCCATAAAATTAATGAGCACAATAATGCCATATATTGCACCACATTTGGCTTCTATTTTTAACAATTGCATAGATTCTGGAGTATTTCCAGATCTTATGAAATTTAGTAAGATAATACCTGTCTACAAAAGTGGTGATAAAAATGATCCAGGCAACTATAGACCTATTTCCATATTGCCATCTCTTAGTAAAGTTTTTGAAAAGCTAATATTAAATCAACTTTTAGTTCATTTTAATGTGAACAAAATCTTTCATGATGAGCAATATGGATTCACTAAAGCCAGATCGACAACAGATGCGGGCGTCGCACTTGTCAAACATATTTATAACGCCTGGGAAAGGTCACAAGATGCAATAGGTGTCTTTTGTGACCTTTCAAAAGCCTTCGACTGCGTAGACCATAAAACTCTCCTTCAAAAGCTGGAATATTATGGCATTCGTGGCATCGCCCTCAATCTCATAGCCTCTTACCTTAGTAATAGAATTCAAAAAGTATCTATAAATGAAGTTAATTCCGCTGGGTCCCAGATGAAAATGGGAGTCCCACAAGGATCAATCTTGGGCCCATTATTATTTTTAGTATATATTAATGATCTCCCCTTTTATGCCAGTGGGTTGTGTGATGTTGTACTGTATGCTGACGATACATCGCTTATTTTTAAAGTTGACCGAAACGTATTAAATTATGACAACGTGGATAGTGCACTTTCACATATTCTCCACTGGTTCACTATTAATAATATGGTATTAAATGCCAAAAAAAAAACAGATGTATTCTTTTCACCCTTCCCAGTATAAGAAGGAAAAGTTTTAGTTTAATATTAAATAACGTACCCATTAATCCAGTTGAGTTTGCTGTATTTCTGGGAATTACAGTAGATTCAAAGCTCCAGTGGAGTCCCCATATATCATCTCTTGCGAATATGCTGAGCTCCGCGGTTTTTGCGATTAGAAGGGTTAGGCAGCTAACAGACATCGACACTGCCAGACTTGTTTACTTTAGTTATTTTCACAGAATCTTGTCGTACGGCATTTTGTTGTGGGGTAGTGCATCAGATATAAATTCTATATTTATTCTTCAAATCTACAATATCGGAGCCCGGAATTCACTCAGAGATCTTTTCAAAGAGGTTAATATACTCACTGTTGCTTCTCAATACATTTATTGTAATGTTTTGTATATACGTCATAACCTTAATTATTACCTAAAGAATAGTGACAGACATAAAATAAACACTAGAAATAAGGACAAACTTATTTTTGAAAAAGAGCAACTGTTGAGTTTCTTGCCGGTCTCTTCTCAACAGAAACCGCTTTCCGAACCGGTGGTACCTTACGAACCTATACACATAATCTTTGATGTAAAATTTGACGATTCATAAGAGCGCGCAAGCGTCTATTTGAATAAATATATTTTAGATTTTTTGATTTTGATTTTTTAAGAGAAACGTCTATGTATTTTAATATGAACCTATGAACGCTATGTGTCAGTCACAACAGCAGGAATTTGTTTAATTCGCTGCAAATTGTTTAATAAAGAGATATTACTGGTCATACGACCTAATCGACGTAAAGGATAGTGTGGCCCCCGTCTCTTGTGCCATAGAGTGTGGTGTGGGTATGATACTACTACAGATAAAATATTGTGTGATGATGAACATAGTGTTTTTATAGTCTCTGATTGCTTAGATATATATAATATGTATTTATTTACAAAAGAAAAGCACATTTAAATATGTTTATCAGTTACCCAGTACCGTAGCCTAGTATCCCATTTCCTTAGTTTGGGAAAATAATTATGTGTAAAAATGTCGCGAAATGTACCGAAATTCAATTTCTTCGGTATACTCTAGACACAACAATGACCTAAATACTTATTAATCCTTAAAATTAACAAAATAATTAGTTTTTAAATGAAATCCAGCATCTAAAATAACGCATTTTAACGAGCTTAACTCAGATACACTAATATTTTCACCCTACAAATATGCTAATAGGCCACTCTTTGCTTTTATTGCAGCAGCATTTCTCTGGTGTATTCTTTTTTTGTAACATACTGGCCAATGCCCGCTCGGTGTCCTATCCCTTCAGACAGTGTCAATGGGTAATGCGGCCATTAGTAGTACACGCAATAGTTCGAAATAATAGTAAATGCTT